GGATACACGATGAAAGGTATTTTGGGCATCATCAGCAAATGTGCGGATCAAATATTTGGACACTGATGGTCGTATTAATGGTACTGACTTAGAAAGAGATGCTTTTATCACAGGTGTTAAGGAGCCCTGGCTCAGCTTCATACATGACATAAGAATCATTGCTAGAAAAAATAAATACAAATCCACATAAAATATGTGAGGAAGAATATGAGCACCTAATAGAAGGGGATGAGGCAACAGCCTATAAATTAACAAAAGAAACACACTTTCCTTTTTCATGAGCACATGCCAGATGTCACTGAAAAAGTTGACAGTGGAACTATGGTTCCGGAGAACCTGACGTAAATACATCTCTGTAATGTAATGAAATGTAATATAATAATTCTTATATAAGATAAGTACTTGTGATATTCTAAAATGTTTTTACCAGCACAAAATTATCTAGTCTATGACGCACTTCTTCTACAACCGATTCACAGCTCAGCTCTTTCCGAAATAACGAAAGCAGATTGTTGACGGCAGTAATGTAACACAACAATCCCGAGTAAACAGATGACAGTTTCTTATGTAACATAACAATACATGCAAACTGACCATTGTTGTCAGCCCATATTTCACATTGTTGATATGGATCTTACACGTTTTCCTTTCACTTTTTTGTTGAATGACCCTTCCATATAGACGTATTTACGTCAGAAAATTATGCTCTTTATCCTATGCATTTAACACACAATCCTCTATCAACCAAGAACCAGATATTCAAGAATACTAAAATATGGGAAACTAATAAATAAGATATAATTTGAAACCTTTACCCAGTACTTCACTATTTTTAGCATGCATTACAAACCTACTGGTAAACTATGAACACAGTTCAATCAAGTCCACATCCTTGCATGCTATTTTGATAATATTAATTAATATTATCCTTCAATTTATGCCCATGAATCCCAAGTAATCTCCCTTCAAGTTTCCCAACTTTGATGACTGCTAACAATGGTAATTGTTCCTATAACTATCAAGTCTTGCCAAATGTGTTGGCAATGGATTTCCATATATATAACCGCATATCATAAAGTTACATCAAAACATTTTATACAGTGAGGAGTGAATCTTTCAAAAACATTACATTTATATTGAGATCTCCTGTTGAACACTATATACCTAAACATTTGGTAATTATGAGTTGGATATCATAAAAGCTCGTCTATATCAAAACTTCAAAATGAATCGTGACAGAAGATGGCTGACTTCTGGATAGTAGCACTGTGTAGTCTGGTAGAAGTTTACCAACATTTTGTCATTTGATAAATATGAGTGCTCAGTTTCATGTTGTGGATGCTTCACCCTCAAGGAACAAACACCAGTATGCAATGGACAGTAGGCTAGGAAGACCCCCAAGTCAGTCTCAATATGGAGATGAGAAAGATCCTTGTGCCTAGCAAAACTTGACTTACAGTCATCCATCCTGCAGCCTGTCACTGCAGTGGCAAAACTGTCCTGTACCATCAGTAGTGTATCATGTCATCTCAAAAAGCACACTATATCACTGTCAATGTGATATTATTAAAGTATAATTAATGTTGATACCCTGAAGCACTCCCACTTCTGAAAACTTTATGTAAATATTAAAATATAAATGCTTCAAGGGAATTGAAACCAAGATCACAT